AAGACTAAAGAGGTGCCTTGTTGTACAGCACTTCTTGCTTGACTGTTATTTTTATTATTTGTTATTGCCTAAGGCAGGAGTTTACACGAAGTGAAGAAGGGAAGGAACAAGGTACCATTTTTATTTTTTATCTCCTAGCTCCCGTAAGTTACAGTCACTGATGTTGCACAACTTTTGTCCCCATTATTTTCAGGATGGACTTTCCTGCTTCTCTATCACACCATGTTCTGTTTCATCAGAAGCTGAGCAGCAATTTCCTTCATAGCTCAGATCACAGACATAAAAATGTGCACCACTATCAGGATGATTTACAAAAGGCACTGCTCCTCTGCATCCTCCACACAGACACTGGCTCCTTGTCTCCTCTTTTATGACAGGTAGCAAATGAAGTAATGAAGTAGAAACGAAGTAATAAAATAAAGATAAATCATTCATCTTGGGAAGGTCTGCATCAGACCAATTAAAACAATGCCTCAGACACAGTGCCATAACACATCGTAGCTATGGGAAGAAGACACTAGCATGAGCAAGCCCTGCAATTACTGTTTTCTCCAATTATATCCTCAGAGATTTCTAGCTCCAGCATAATAAAAGATTAACAAATTAAAATATATTTAAAAACTGAATCTTTATGTTTTTTCCAGTAAGCTATTGAAGGCACTGATAGTGACACATCTCTGCCTGGAGAGGAAGCCTGCACACGGCAAGAGCAAGAGCAGCTGCAGCCAGAGTCACTGAGGATGAGGAGGGTCTGCAGGCCTGACCACACAGCTGCAGCCCCCCAAAGCCCAGCAACTGCCCTGGCAGGCAAGGAGCATCCTGCAGCAGGTAAAAGGCTGGCTCCTGCAAAGGAAGGGGCACCAGCAGCTCCTGCCCAGCTCCTGCCACGCTGTGCTCCATGCCAGGGGCCAGGAGCTCCCCCTGCCCACCCAGACGGGGCAGAAACCCTGGGCACTGCACACTGGCACCCAGGGCTCAGCACTGTACACAACAATTACAGCATGGAGAACCAAATACAGCAAAAAAGATGGAAATAGCCAGCCCTGCTCAGGGTGAAACCTCCACCCAGATCACACTGGCAGCCAGGGCTGAGCATGGCACAGCAGCATCACAGCACGGAGGAGCACGCACAGGCAAGGGGATGCAAACAGCCATCCCTCCCCAGGTGAGAGCTCCACCCTGCTCTGCTCTGCTCTCTCTGCTCTCTCTGTGTTCCCAGCAGCAGCTTCCCCTGCAGTGAGTCCCGGGCACAGAAACCTGCCCTCAGGGGGGATTCCTGCGGCTGCACAGGAGCACCTCCACTGCAGACAGCTGGGAGCACACAGGGCACGGTCTCAGGCAAGCCAAAGCAGCAGGTGTCACCCAGCCCTGCTCTCAGGGTGCCCTGCCGGGCCTGTCAATGTCCAGAGCCACGTCTGCCCCCCAGCACAGGGCTTTGGGCACCTGCTAGCAGAGCTGCCTCCAGGCAGTCAGCGCCATGCTCCCTGGCCTGTGGATCCTCCCATGGCTCTACAAATCAATCCAAATCTGGTCTAGAATTTTATTCTCTCATCTAGAGTCCTAGGCTAAGAATAGCACCCATTCCCTCCCCATCTGTTGATTTTCCAACGATTTTATAGCACTGGTATCTAATTAGAGTATATCACTGCCTGTTACAATCACAAGTCATTTACTGACTGCATGACCCGTGGAAGCCCTCTTCATACTCCAGAGAAAATCTCCATCAATACTACACTCAACATTTCAAAGATCTAGCAGAAAGACTGAAGAAAATAGGTTTTGGGGTTTTTTAGCTTATCATTCCTGACCACTTCAAAGGTTTACAGCAAAATTCAGTGTCAAAAACAATGAACATGAGTTGAACATTGGAGAGATTGCAAAGCACAGAAAATGCACTGTGACAGAGTGAACTGAAGCGTGATCACACAGGCTATCAGACAAATCTGGATCACTTGAACGGACTGGCACGGCTTAGAGGGGTTTTTCTTTCATTTATAATTAACCACTGGCTGTCACATCCCTGCATCCACACGCCGGCAGTGAGTGTGTACGCTGAGAGCTCCGTGCAGGACACAGCCTGTGAGCCCGGCAGGGTGGGCAGGGTGTGCGTGGGCACCAGGGGGATGCTCAGCCCAGCCCCACGAGAGAGGGGGAATCGCTCACCTCAATCCTTCACCTCAGTTGTTCACCTCAATCGCTCACCTCAGTTGTTCACCTCAATCGCTCACCTCAATCGCTCACCTCAATCTCCCCTGTGCCTCCACCTGCTGCAGAAACCTTCCCGGGGCTGGGCCTGAGCACTCTGCCTTTGCTATGGGCTACAAAGACCCTGCTGCGAGGAAGGGGTTACTGACAGAAGTCAGGAAGGGTCCTAAAATCAACAGGCTGCAGAGAGAGGAAGCTTACCCAGAAAGTTCTCAAGGATGAGAAGCTTGTCATGCTGGCAGCAATGCTCAAAATGGAAACTGCACTAGAAGTACAACAATAAAGTGTGGAACTCCAGTTTAAACAAGGAACAAACCAATTTAAGCAAATTAAATATTGCCCATTGTACTGTAAAAATATCTGCTTCTGCTAGTAAATAAACTCAGAGTGATTTCAGGGAATCCAGGGTAAGTGGGGCTGCTGCAGTGCCCTGCTGTGGGTCTGTCCTGCAGCCCTGGCAGGAGGGCACACTGCTCCAGAGCCCAGGGCAGCCCCACTGCAGCCCTGCCTTGGCTCCCCGCAGCTTCCCAGTGCCAACCCTGCACAGGTACCAGCCCCAGCACATCCCTGCACAGATGCCAGCCCCAGTACACCCCAGGCAGAGGTGCCAGCCCCAGGCAGAGGTGCCAGCCCCAGCACAGCCCTGCACAGGTGCCAGCCCCAGCACACCCCAGGCAGAGGTGCCAGCCCCAGCACAGCCCAGGCAGTGGTGCCAGCCCCAGCACAGCCCAGGCAGTGGTGCCAGCCCCAGCACACCCCAGGCAGAGGTGCCAGCCCCAGCACAGCCCAGGCAGTGGTGCCAGCCCCAGCACAGCCCAGGCAGTGGTGCCAGCCCCAGCACACCCCAGGCAGAGGTGCCAGCCCCAGCACACCCCAGGCAGTGGTGCCAGCCCCAGCACATCCCCAGCCAGAGGTGCCAGCCCCAGCACATCCCCAGCCAGTGGTGCCAGCCCCAGCACATCCCTGCACAGGTGCCAGCCCCAGCACACCCCAGGCAGTGGGCTGAGTATTTCACTGCAATAAATAGATTTGGAGAAAGGCTTTCTTTACTGACAACCTGCCTTATTTTTGCCAGCAGGCGTGAATCCAAACAGGATCACAGTACCCCAGCCTGACTTCAAAGGATTTGAACATTTAATTTTTTGCAGCCTTTGCTTCCCTGTCCATTGCACTGCAAGCACACCCGCAGGCCACCAGATCTCTTGCACGGCTAATTCAACGTTCCTGTTCTGAAGATGACAACAGGAGAGGCTGAGCTGCACCCCCAGGCCAGGCTGGCGTGCCCGGCTCTCTGCAGGGCACGGGGCACACAGCAGGCTGGGCTGGATGGCATCCTCTCCCACACACAGCCTGCCTCCAGGGCTCAGGGTGGGCCAGCAGGGTCAGCACACGATTGCCCCTCACTCTGGGCCACAGGACTGGAGACCAGATCTGAAATGTAATGCAGTGAGGCAAGCGAGGCAATCAGCAATGGCTCTGCCTCTGCAGAGCAGCAGGGCCCCCACGAACCAGCTAAGCACATTATCTTGGTGAAGATCATGGATTTTCCCCTCAAACTGACCGTGTGTAACCCCTGCAACTTGTCACATGCCACTGCAGCCCGGGGCCAGCCTGCCAGGTGCCAGTGTCCTTGCCCCACTGACATCCCCGGGAAGCAGCACGGCCCAGCCTTCCCCAAAGAGCATCCTCGGGCTCAGCATCTCCAACCCAGTCAAGGGGAAAGGGTTTCACTTGTGGATGGCCTCACAGGCTGCAATTAGCACTGCCTCTGCTGTTCTCTCAGTCTCAGCTCATCCCTGCTCCGTGCCTGTGCCACTGCTGCCACCGACCCTGCCTCAATTCTGGTGCTGCTCAGGGGGGCTCACCAGGCAGCACAACCAGCTCCAGCTGAGCTTAGGACAAACACCAAGAAAATGATGAAAAACCGCTTGTCTTCCTGCCCCAGCATTTGAAAGTTAACACAGAAGATCAGGTGCTTGTATTACAAAGTTCTTGGAATTTTTATTCCAGTCAAAAAATGTCCCTTTCTGTCTTGGAATGAAAAGCTACATCTCTACATCCATCACCAGTCTGAAAAACATAAACCCAAATTTAGTTCAGGTCCAACAAAGACAGAATTTAATTCTGACCCTATTAAAAACAAAAACCAAAACATTTTTTAAGACCCTGCAGGGCTGTTTTGTTTGCTTTAAGCAGACCTGAGATGCACAGGAGGTTACACTCATCTCTCTCTCATTTGAATTTCACGTACATTGTCAGTCTCACCTGTTTTCCCACAGTCCCAGGGTGCACACAGGCAGCTGAAGGCTCCTCTCCCCCAGCCCCAGGTGAGGTGGGGACCCCTCCACCCTGCAGGTGAGACGTGGAGCCCAGCACCCTGAGCAGGGCAGTGCCTCACCCTGCAGGTCCAGCTCATGCCCCACACCACTTGTACACTGAATAGAGAAACATTTCTCCGCAGGTTTTCAAATTTCCAGCGAGCAGCTGAATGCTGACAAAGCCAAGAAACTCCCTGAGCACTTCACTTCTAGCACAGAACGCTTCAAGATGTATTTTCCCTAATCTAAAGCTCGCCTCTGCCAAGCAGTAACACCCCCCAAAAGCACAGCTCCTGAGTCTGAATGAATTCTTGATTGCGTTGTACAAGACTGCTTTGCTCTCAACTTCCTACGTCTAACCTCAGGAAATTCCCACACCAGCTTAACAATAACTTGCCTTCTTTGTCACACATAATGAAAGAAGAGGCAGAGTTAATTCTGCCTCCTCAGCCCCCAGCCAGTGCAGAGCACAGAGAAATGTGGGGCACCAGCGCTCGGGCTGATTTCCACACCTTGCCAGCACTTCAGAAGAAGCTCAGAGGTTTGATAAAAAGCGATCACCCAGCTGAGTGCAGAGAGTTTCAGAGCTCCTGACCATCTCCAGAGAGCTCAAGGAAAGAGTTACACAATCCCTGCCCCTCCAAGGGCTCCGGGAGGTGGAACAGGAGCGAAACAAGACAGGAAGACGCAACAAGACAATTTCACAGCTGCCTCTGGAGCCTTGGCATCAGCCACTGACCACCAAGTGCTGCACCTGCACGGCTCCAGGATGCTGGAGTGCTGCTCCACAAGCTGCAGGGCCCCAAATCACAAAAAATCCCTGTTCCAGAAAAAAAATCCCAGAGCCTGGAGAGGCACACACTGACCTGTGCTGGAAATACAACATTCCCAACACAGAGCAGGTGATGGCATGATGGCAGATCTGCAAGAACAAAACAAAACAAAAAAAAAAACCTGCAGCAGGAAGTGGCACTTTAAATAACCAAGCAGCAAAGTATGTGAAAAGCCCTAATCCACTTGCTTGTTTGAAATATTACTCACTGGATGGCTCATCTCAAAGCACAGGCTTTGCAGTTTATCCTCCTCAAATGAGTCCCAGATAAAATTAGTCAGGTGATTTGCAGGATATATTGATTAGAGAGGATTTAGCTAAGGAACATAAAAAACATCCAGCTTTATCATTCAGGGAGAAGGAAAGAGATGAAAGAAAGCCTGTAAGCTATTATCACTGTGTATAAATTAGGCTTTATTAATGAATTAACTAACTACACAGAAAATGCTAGATAACTGTTAAAATAATGGCATTTCTCTCTGAAAAAAAAAAGTAGATCTCAGAAAAAAGCAATACAAATATGAATAAAGTAAGTCTTCACTGTTTGCTTGGTTTTTTTCTAGTGTCTATAACAGGCTGAATTTTCACCTGAACATTCCTGAAAAACCCTGAGATGCTCAGTTTTCTCTTCCAGCTCACAACTTTTTCCACCTTTACATAAAAACATCCTCAGCTTGCCTCTGTCAAATCCCAGCTGACATGAACTACCCAAACTTTCCCCAGTGATCACTGCTTTTCCTCAGGGTTAACCCTGAAGTGCTCAAAATACAAAATACCCTGACTGTGCTGTGTACAGACTGAAAAATCTGGGATTCTTCTGAGGGGGAACAGAACTGGGCACCCTCAGTGGCCCAGCTGGGAGGGGGCTGTGCTGAGGCTCCAGCCCTGCAGGAGAATTCAGAGCAGTGTCCTGCAGTGACAGATGGGTTATATGGCACAGCTCTGGAGAACATCTGCACCAGCAAATGTGCACCAAGGCAGTGGGCGAGAGCAGCACAGCTCCCTGGGGCCCGCCCAAGCCCCATGTCCACAGGCCCACAGGATGCTGTGTGCAGCTGCCCTGCAGGACAAGGAGCAACCTCCTGATGTTGGTTAACAGCAGCACAGGCTCGTGGCACTGCCAACGAGGCATCCATCGAGATGCAGGGCAGCTCCCAGCCTGGGCCCGGCAGCTTTGGGGGGATCACTCCGTGTGCAGTGCCTCCAACACTGCCCAGTGTGCCAGGAGGGCTGGCACAGCCCAGGGGAGCAGCCCCGGGGTACGGCCCAGGCCAGCTGGAGACCCCACGGGGGTCCTGCTCCACCCAGCAAACCCCTCTGAGAGCCACCGACCCCAACACGCCGGGCAGGACGCGTGCCCACCCCAGCACCCGTCCTCTGTGGAGAAAAGGGGGCACAGCTGCTCCCCACGGCTGCCTGGAGAGCTGCCACACCTGGGCAGACCTGCACCAGGCTCCGGGGGGAAAAGAGAGGAGTTCAGCCAGGCTGCCAGGAGAGCAGTGCTGTCAGCAGTGCCACTGTCACCTGCACCTGTCCCCTGCCTGGGACACTCACCTGTTCCACAGCCTGGGACACTGACACTCACCTGTCCCTGTCTGGGACACTGACACTCACCTGTCCCCTGCCTGGGACACTCACCTGTCCCTGCCTGGGGACACTGACACTCACCTGTCCCTGTCTGGGACACTGACACTCACCTGTCCCCTATCTGGGACACTGACACTCACCTGTTCCACAGCCTGGCACACTGACACTCACCTGTCCCCTGCCTGGGACACTCACCTGTCCCTGCCTGGGGACACTGACACTCACCTGTCCCTGTCTGGGACACTGACACTCACCTGTCCCCTATCTGGGACACTGACACTCACCTGTTCCACAGCCTGGCACACTGACACTCACCTGTCCCCTGCCTGGGACACTCACCTGTCCCTGCCTGGGGACACTGACACTCACCTGTCCCCTATCGGGGACACTGACACTCACCTGTCCCCTATCGGGGACACTGACACTCACCTGTCCCCTATCGGGGACACTGACACTCACCTGTCCCCTATCGGGGACACTGACACTCACCTGTCCCCTATCGGGGACACTGACACTCACCTGTCCCCTATCGGGGACACTGACACTCACCTGTCCCCTATCGGGGACACTGACACTCACCTGTCCCCTATCGGGGACACTGACACTCACCTGTCCCCTATCGGGGACACTGACACTCACCTGTCCCCTATCGGGGACACTGACACTCACCTGTCCCCTATCGGGGACACTGACACTCACCTGTCCCCTATCGGGGACACTGACACTCACCTGTCCCCTATCGGGGACACTGACACTCACCTGTCCCCTATCGGGGACACTGACACTCACCTGTCCCCTATCGGGGACACTGACACTCACCTGTCCCCTATCGGGGACACTGACACTCACCTGTCCCCTATCGGGGACACTGACACTCACCTGTCCCCTATCGGGGACACTGACACTCACCTGTCCCCTATCGGGGACACTGACACTCACCTGTCCCCTATCGGGGACACTGACACTCACCTGTCCCCTATCGGGGACACTGACACTCACCTGTCCCCTATCGGGGACACTGACACTCACCTGTCCCCTATCGGGGACACTGACACTCACCTGTCCCACAGCCTGGGACACTCACCTGTCCCTGCCTGGCACACCCCAGCCACGTGCCCCGAGCTCTGCCCCCAGCCCTCATGCCCAGCACGGTGCCAGGGCTCCTGGGCTCCAGAGGGGCATTTCCCACCCCTCCCCTGGCACTGCTCTTTTTCCTTGAGTCATCAGCTGAGCCCACACCGACTGCAGTGCTCAGCAGCAGATGCTTTCCAGGGATGTAGGAGAAATGCTTTTAAATTCCCTCAGGCAGAAAAGGGAAATGAGTTCAAATCCACAATCCGAGGTTCATCAGCTCATCCAGGAACCACTGGGAAAAAGTGCTACGTCCCAGATGTGTTCTTGTTTTATGAATCATGATTCTCTAGCAATTAACTCATTTCAAGAGGATAAAGATGCTTCAAAGGTTTTTTATTTTTGTTTTTGATTTGAGTTAAAAATATATATTCTTGTCAGTAAGACATGCTGATAAATTTTCTTTTAGTTTCAGAGCATATCTATTTTGTTTTTATGTGCTATTTTAGATCAAGCACAGAGCCAAAAAAAAAATATAAATGCAATTATGTATTCAGCTCTATGCTAAAGTTTCATTTAAAGTCAAACCAGGAAGTATTAACAGACAGTGACAGGGTAGAGCAGTGAAGTGGCAGATTAAAAGATCCAGGAATTCTGCTTACTGGGCACATTTCTATGTTTTCTCATTGTCTTTACAGCCCTTTCTAAAATTCCCATTATTGGCAAGAAAATTCTCGTGAGAACAAGCCCCTTTCTCACTGTTGTGCTGCATTTCTGGGAAGACAAAGACCCAGCTTGGTTTGATTATGTGAGGCACAGAAATGAAGGGGAGGCAGCCCCTGCAGTGATCCCCCAGCCCTGCCCCAGAGGGGACAGTGACCCCCCAGCCCTGCTCTGCCAGGGGACAGTGACCCCCCAGCCCTGCCCCAGAGGGGACAGTGACCCCCCAGCCCTGCCCCAGGAGGGACAGGGACCCCCCAGCCCTGCCCCAGAGGGGACAGTGACCCCCCAGCCCTGCCCCAGGGGGGACAGTGACCCCCCAGCCCTGCTCTGCCAGGGGACAGGGCCAGGAGCCACCACCTGGCAGGAGAGCACCTGTGAAAATGTGCCAGCGTGCTGTTTTGCAGAGGAGGACTCGCTGGTTTTAACAATGCAATCCTGTTGCCTTTCCTCCGTTTGGATTTTGTGGTACCTCAGAGCAGGAACAAAACATAACCCTCAGGTTCAGTTCTACCCCAACGTAAAATTGTTTCCCATGGAAATTAGTTAAGGTTCTAAGTCTTCCTGTCAAATTCAGCAGAAAAAAACCACCAATATTCTTCCTTAAACTGACAGCCAGTGGCATTCCATACTCTGGGAGTCTGTGGAAAGGCTCAAACTCTAACACCTGTACAGGACAAAGTTCTCCTTGTGGCACTGAGAATGTGCAAGTGAAGCAAGGTGTGTGAACCACCAGAACATCTTCCTTCACCAAAATGACCCTGTTTATGTCTAAAACAGCCTTTCACTGGTTTACCAAAAGAAATGTTTTAGCCTTTAAAAAACAAAAAATCCTCACACATCCCTTGATTCCCACACCAAGAGCACTGAAATGAAAACCCCTCTCTTAATCTGTGAAATTGCTGTTCGTTAAGATTTCATTAATTTAAGTCAGTCAATTGCTTGTAAAAATGTGAAAGCTCGTTGCAGACTTTCTGCATGTTCAGCAATTGGACCTCCATGGCACCTGGGAGCTCCACCTTGCTCCCAGAGAACAGAGCTGGTTCCATGAGAGCACAGCACGTGGTGTGCAGTCACTTCCCAGAAGGCAGCCAAAGCAGTTGGTCTCTTTTACAGTCCAATAACTTTCAGTACTAAAATCACTTTAAAGGAACACTTTAAATGAAATTAAAGAACCAAACTGAGCTTCCATTACTTGAATTCTTTTTAATTGCAAGGGATGCTGAAAAGGAACCCGTGCTCCTTTCCCTGTGGCGTCTCAGGCTGGAAGCACCACCAAAGGCAGAGCATTTCATTAACCTCACACCCTGTGGCACTGAAGCCACAATCCTCCTTGCACTGAGGGCAACACGACACTTGATTTCAGAAGCAGTTCAGGACGGGGGCCACCTTTCCCCACGGGGAAGCTGCCCACCTGGCTGGTGCAGAAGCAGAGCTCGTGTCCTCGGGGTCTGGAATGATCTGCTCTGCTGGGCACAGCAGCGACAGCTCTGGAGGAAGTGTTTCACCAGCAGGGCACAACAAGCACGTCTGAGAGAGGATCCCACACACCCCTAATGCTCCCAGGAAAGATTTCATTACTGGAAGAGCCAGTGGAGCACTCCAACACTGCTGGCTGCAATGGTCCCACACAGCCCCAACAGTTTCTTTACACAAACTCTCTTCAAGACACCTCATTTCTTTCTTTCTTTCTCTCCCCTGAAGTCCCTTGACTCACTCACATGAGCACACTTCTACCCTCTCCTTGCTTGTCCAATACAAAAAGTAAATCCTAAAGCTAAGGCATTCACTCATGCAAGCTCCATAATGTATTGGTGGAACTCAGTCCATCACTAATATCCCAGATACACCAACTGCTCCACACACCCCCGTTATCCCACCAGCTGTTTTGGGGTCCCACTCCCCTCTCCTCCCATCCACTGCAATCCCACTGCTCCTTTCTCCTTTACCAGGCACAGTTATTTACTGCACCCACACATAACGTGCCAAACCCACACTGGGCTCTCCCACCACGGCAGGAGAACAAACCCCTTCTTGGCCCTTGACAAGCTGGAAAAGTGTAACACCAAAAATACAGTCAGTCACAGCAAATGGAGTCAGAACAGCGAGCTCCTTACATCACAACTCTTATCTCAATGAGTTTATCTTTAATCCTGCAGAGAGCTCCATGAAACTGAGCAAAATTTCAGTAGATCAGAAATGGAATTCATTATGTGAGAAGATCAGAGACACCATATGACTGAAAATTATTCAGACAAATCCTGGGTAAAGGCTTCGGTGGAAATTGCTGTGGATGAGCATGATCCAGGCTCACAGGGGTGAGCCCAGCAGAGCTCTCACAGACCCAGCACAGGCGTGAGCAAAGGCAGGACACGCAGGGACCAAGGTCTGGTTTAGCAAATGCTGGGCAAGGGCCCAGTCCCGTGGCTGCAGGAGTTACCACCAGCAGCACAGACCCTCAGCTGCTGCCACCAGGACTGCTCTTAGCACAGGGGGCATTAGCAACATCACACAGACTGGTACTTCTCTGGGCTGAGCTCACACCCTGACAGCCTCTGGCTGGCGGGGAGGCACCTCTCTGCATGGTGGAGGGACTGCCAGGGGACAGAGCTGTCCTGGGACAGGGAGACCCCGGAGCGTGTGGCCTCGTGGCCAGTGTGCACCACGTCACTGTGGCTGTGCTGGAGCCCTGCTCTCCCGGGGATGCTGAACCTGCCCCCCCAAGGGAACTGAAAAGGATTTCCTTGCTTGGCTTTCTTTGGCTTTACCTATTGAGCTGCTTTATCTCAACCCCAAACTTTTCTCACTTTTAGCCTCCAATTCTCTTCCTCATCCCATGGCAGGGAGTGAGGCTCAGTTGCTGGCTGGGGTTAAAGACCAGCCGCAGCCAGTGAGGATCAATTGATCTCAGATGCCTCAAAACTCATGCAAGTTTGTTCTCAAGATAAAATATGAGCAGCAATGACATGGTGAGTTAGCTTTGGGTATTATCAGCATTCACTCACTTGAAATATATTAACAGCTCTTTTATTATTTATATGTTATGAGGACGTCAATCCATATTATGAATTATGAATCTAATTCTGCTCCCAGTAATATTAATGGCAGACAAATGTGTCTCTACACTTAATATATTCTTTTCAATGTCATTAACTTATTAGTGAATATCAAGTTCTGCTGTCACTACAAAACACTTCAAGTTATTCTACAAAATGATCTAGTATCTCAGAGAAGAAAAAATGCATTCTAGAAGAACCGTCATCTCTCTTCTTAAGAGCCCAAGACAGAACATCCCTCTAATGTCATTATTTTCAACATTAATTTAATTTTAATAATCCATATTTTACTCCAGCCCAAGTGGTTCAAGTAACAAAAGAAGGCAGAATATTTCATGGAATGTCTCAGAAGTGACACCATTCCTGCAAAATGAACTAAAATAAACCATCAAAAACCAAAACCAAACTAACACCACAAGAAAAAAAAAAACCAAAACCAAAAACCAACAAAACCAAGCCAAACCCCTTACTGCTCTTTAAAAACTAATTCTTGATGGGCCCATCTATTTGCCTGGATCAGCAAATCCTCTCCTAATCACAAACTTCACCAAGCACACCCACAATGTTAGAAAAAATAAAAACAAATGCAGACCACTCCGAAGCATAGATCAAGGGAAATAATCCTGTCACAGCAAGAAAAACCACAAAGCACCCAGGGATTTGATGAGCGTGAGAAATCAATCGTGCATCGAGTCGACTGATGCCGTTTATTTTAAGTCCTTCTTTTCTGATTTACTGCCATCATTGCTGCCAATTTGCATAGATAATAGAACAAGACATCCTCTTAACGTCTTCATCAGGAATTAAACGTAACAGTGGTGCATCTCTGTGTGCTCACCAGCGAGGCACCCACATGAATGTCGGATGTCATTTATTCTGGGGATGCTGCTGGACTGGAAAGAGGCACCTGGGCTGCTCCAGCAGTGTCACAGCAGGCTGGAAGAGCTGCAGAGCCAGGAGCAGCTGGAGCAGGCTGCACACAGGGCTGTGACAAGGCTGAGCTGTGCTTCTGAGAGCAGCCCCGTGCTCCTTCCAGCACGGCAAGCACAGCTACAACTGCAATGCTTGTCCGAGCCTCTCCAAACTCTGCCAGCTCCTCCCGAGGAGCCAGATGATTTGTTCCCACTCTCAGAGTACAGGAGATGAGTGGGAAGGGTGCTGCTCAGCAAAGTGATTGCTCTGACAGGTACTTACATCATTCACAAAACCACCACAAATATGCACAACTGTTTAACAACAGTGGAGAAACAACGAAAGCCTCACCTCAAGAGCCAGAGAAGGGTGTGTTCCAGGAGCAAGAGCTGAGACACACAGTGTGTGTGCGTGGGAGGGTGGAGATCAGCCCTGGCTGCCAGCTCCGAGCAGGAGGTTCTGCACAGGAGCCGGAGGAAGCTCGAAGCGCACGTTTCCTCCAGGAGCTGTGCGGGAGAACGCGCTCACAGGGAAGCTGGGAAGGCCAAGCAGCAGAAAGCACTCTGTGTTCCATGGAGAGCAAGATGGGCAGTGGAGCAGAGCACCAGGCAGGCCATGCCTGCAGGACAGTGCTGCACCAGAGTCTGCGCAGGATTCCAAGGAATTCAGGAGCATGCAGCCTAAAAGGAGTCAGTTCTCGTGAGAACACGAATACCCCCACAGCCAGAGTGTGGGACCCTGGGCTCACTGCTGACCCCAGCTCCCACAGGACATAAAACAGCTCTCTGTGTTCCCCTCCCAGGGGAGACCTCTGCAATTCCTGCTGGCAGGAACTGCTCCCACCACGCACGGCAGCCCCCAGACCTGGCTCTCACCTTGCTCACCTGCAGGGCCCTGGCCAAAGACATCGGGAGTGACAAAGAAATGCTCTGGGACCAAATGCTGGAGCCTCCCAAGTGTTTTCCCCAAAACTTCCCAAGGATTGTAGGTTGACTTTGGGGCTTTTTTTGGCCTTGTCAGAGGTCTGTGGATCTTCGACTAACAGACCCAGTTCTTGGATTTCACCAAGCTCTCAGAGGCTCAGAGATGGGGACAGCGAGAGCACTTGCTAAATAAGGAAAACATGATGTGGGCTCTGACATTAAACAGCTTTACAGGTGTTGCTTCCTTTAACTCTGCTAAAATAATGAAGAATTAGGGTTTGCTGAGAAGCTTCTCCTGCAAAAAGAGTCTATATATAGATGAAAGATGAAATATGCTACATGTCTCCATGTTAAAAATAACTGCAGTATTAAAAATTAAAATTATCCTACAAAGAACTGTCATTATTAGCAGTTCTAATGCCAAGTTAAAAATTAAATCCAATCAGCACAGAAAAACATTTGGAAACCCTTTTAAAAAATGAAAGAGATGAAGATTTGATACTGTATTTTATAGTAGCTATTGTATGAAGCGGAAATTTGCTTCCCAGTAAAAAAAATCCCTTGCTGTTACTGATGTGGGGCCAAAACTGGAGCTGAAGCAGGAGTGTGGCAAGGATCTTTACCATCAAATCAGCTTCAAGCCAACTCCCAAGGAAATATCCTTTCAGCAGAGTCGAGGATGCAGGCTTGCTCAGTATGGCTGCTGATGGACGTGGGTAGAACACAACCCTCGAAATATTCCAGGAAATGCCACTCAGAACCAATGATCCTCCACTCCCCAGCTCCAGAGGCAGCTGCAGGAGCAGGCCAGGTGTCTGGCTCTAGCTCTCTGCCACACACTGCTCCTAACAACTACAGGGGATTTCTCCACAGACAGTCTCTCTTGAAATTCACTTCACAGAGAGGAATCTAAATTGCACTCTGCTTCAAATAGAACACCTCAGGAACAACGTACTCTGGGTGTAGAAGGAGAAAAAGAACTAATAAATGAGAATGAAGATAAAAATTGCAACATTTCAGTGGAGAACGAAGCACTTAGTAAAGATAATTGTGCCCATTCACCATAAAATGAGAACTCGAGGAGAGCACCGTAAGTCACAAAACATTTGAAGTGTTAAAAATGTAAAGCATCTGAGGATCTCTCAGCTGCACCAGCGGTGCTCTCTGTTCCCTTCACTTTCAGTTAGCCTGTTTCACAGGCAAAGCTGTGAAATTCACGTTGTTACAGAACTGACTCCTTGCTCAGGCTGCTCCTCCTGGGCAGGACTTGGGCTCGGAGCAGCACCACAGAACAAGCATCACACTGGAAATGGAACCCAGAGATAAGAAGACACCCAGGACTTTTAATTACAGTAAATTATATAAATTAAAGGAAGTATCTTGAGCTCACCCTCTACTGTGCTGGGGCTAACAAGGCAAACATCACCTCCCATTTAACCTTTTTATCCTGAGTGGCCAAAATTGCTTCGGCAAAGTGAATTATGTTTATGTGTTGCCATAGTAGTTTTGACACCTCTTCAAGCTCAAAAGCAAATGCAGTTGAGTAGGTTGAAGATTTGAGCTTTTAAAAAAATTTTATACACCCAGAAAGGTTTTTAAATCTTTTATACACAAGAAGTATTGGCATGCTTTGTGTGGTCCCTTCTCACAGAAAGTGTGAGACTTACTCCTGTCAATGGAAAACAGAATTCAGCTTTTGGACTATCTCCTGTATCTTTTCCATCCTCAATAATAATATGATCCTGAGATGCTTTGGGGTTTACTTTATTATGCCAAGGATATCTAAATTGTATCTCCTCAGTTACATGCTAGATAAAAATTGCCCAGGATGGTTTCTTTGCCTGGCTTCACGGTGCTTATACTCAGAGATGTCTTTATCTTCAGGACACTACAGTTGGTAAAAAATTCTTTTTGCTGTGAAACTGGGTTATTACTTCATTATTGAATTCTGACTTTTGTGCAAAGGCTACTGTGCAACTCCTCCAACAGTCTAAAAAAAAAAAAAAAAAACCAAAAAACCCAGAGGAAAGTATTTCCCAGAGAAAAGGCAGCTCATGTTCTTAATAAACCTAAGGGTAACATTTATTTTTATTGCTCCTTCAGGCATCAGCCCCAGCCTCTCCCACAGTCCCAGCTGCCCTGCCAGGGCTCAGAGCAGCTCTAAGGACCAGGACAGCTCCTGCAGCCCAGCTCAGCTCCACTTTCCCACCGCCATCAGCACAGAGTTTGGATTTTCTCCGTCCTCCCTTTGTTTGCGTAACACACTCTACCTTTTCTGAGCTGATTCTGAGGAGGAAACCCTCCACCCTTCCCTCACTGGGACAGCCCAGCCGCGGGTGCCTGTGCCTGGCAGTGCCAGCCAGGCCCTGCTCTGCCCTGGGGTGGCTCCCTGGGCACCTGCAGGGCTCTGGAACAAGCACTGCCACGGTGCCCCCGCGTGCCAGGGCACTTCAGACACCCCGAGGAGCTCACACAGAGATTACTGCACTGCCAGGCGTGCGTGCCAGGGTCAGCCTGCTTTGATTTTAAACCAACAGTACGAGAAGGAATAAACCAGCCCAGCATCAGCTGCCAAGTTAAGAGGACTGCTGGTGATTTAGGAAGTTTTGCATATTGCTCACTCTACAGTTAGAGAAAAAAAGACATAATAAATCTGAACCCCCCTCATACTCCCCTGACCTGGCTCAAAGCTGCTCAGCTGGGAGGCTTTGACACAAATGTGGTGGGAGGAAGGAGAGCAGAGCTTCCAGGCAAATGCATTTCTCGAGGAGTTAATGAAATTTGCAAGTATAATTATTTTTCATCTGGGTGCCAAGTTCTCTCTCCATTCCATGAAGTCCTGGTGCTGTGATGCTACGAAAGGAGCACATGAGTCCTCAGCTCTCATTACAGCATCATTATATAATTCACAAATACCAGTCTCAAATTAAATCTACTGAAAGGGGGATACAGCAGCCAGAGAGTACTAAGGAGTAGAGTATCTATGGAACTCGAGCCCACAGCAGCTCCAAATCTGCCCTCCAATAAGCCAGGAAGGTGAAAAAACCCAAGTTTGCTTTCCCAGGACGCTTTTGCCCAACTGAACTCAAGAGGGGCTGCAAGGAGCCCCAGCAGCCACGGGAGCACAGCCAAGGGCACCCTGGAGCTGACCCACACCCACAGGCAGCACTGCTGTCCCTGGGCAGGAGCAGCAGAGGACACATGGGTGAGAGAGGAAACGGCTCTGCAACACCTCTCAGTGCAGGAATTGCTTCTCCCCCAGCACCCCCTCCCTGCCCAGGAGCAGCAGATGCTGCTGGACCCCCCCAGCAGACCCCAGGCTGGGAAAGGACCACGCTCCTGGGTGCACAAAAAGCCAGCCCAAAAACCAAAATACTCAATCACCCCTCACCTAAGGTCTGGCTATGACAGTGAAATGAAGCAAGTGAAATGCAGGAGGAAATGCAGCCCTGCAGCTTCCCCTGCCCTCACTGCACAGCACGGCAGCTCTGCCTGCCACCTTCCCAGACTGCATCCAGCAGATGCTTCACTGCTCTGCTTTGGGGAGCCCGCCCTGTCTGGCTGCCTTTAGGAGTCCAGAATCTGCCCCTCTGTGCCAGCTTTGAGCCCTGTGTGAGTGCCCAGGGCAGCTCCTGCTCCCCAGTGCAGGGCAGCCCCAGTGCAGCGCAGCCCCAGTGCAGGGCACCAGCCCTGTGAGCCTGCACAGACAGACAGACAGACACTCCTGGCTAAGAGCCTGCTATGGGCACTGCAGCCTGGCCAGAGGCATTTATTAAAAAACCTGCTGGAACAGCAAACACACATGGATTGAGATTCTGTTCCAACCTCCTCCTTTTGTTTGCCAGGCACGTCGGCTGTTAATGCTGTATCACCCACAGGGGACACCCAGCAACTCCCCAGCACAACTGCAGGGGATATTTCATTCCAGGTTCCAGATTTCCAAGAAGTTAAAGAAATTCCTATCAACTTCCTTGCAATAAAATTTTGTGATCACAAACAAAAGGCAAACTTAACATAAGAACAAACATACTGGCTAAATGAAAAGCTCACCAACCCCCAATTCAGTCTCTTGACGTTGCCTATGGTGGCTACTCAGGAAAAAGTCTAAGGACAAGGCAAATGGACCCAGAGCATCCCAGCAGTCTGAGCCTCATCCCTTCTTCACACAATTCTGAAGACAAGTTTCTCCTTCCACAGCTTCCACAGTAGCACAAAATAAACGGCTGTGTATTAAAATGAAAGCAGAGCTGCCTAACAAGCATCCTGTTCTAGATCAGGCTCTCCAATCAGTACCAATGCTGACTTTGGATCAGACTTTAGTGCACTGAAGCCTGCTCTGTCAGGCTCCCATCCAGGGACAGTCACACACTTTCTGTCTCCTCCCCAGAGTGGATGCTGACTTCAGAGATTCTGGAGGAAAAATATCTTAGACTTCTGCCCAGTGGCCAGAAGACAGCAGGCAGCACTCTCAGGTGTATCAGGCTGACAGCAAGAGCCTCCAGTCAGCTGGAGTAGCTAGAACATCTTGAAAGAAGTATTTAGAATTGCAGAGAAATTAATTTGAGCAATTTGCCAAAGAACGCCATTGCCAAAAAGCAGCGGTTTCCAAAATCTCTGGCAGCAGATGCCATGGTTGTAAGATTTCCCCACAAATGAACACCTGTAATACAAAAAGGAAAAGCAACAGAAAGGTTTCTGGGGAAGGAAACTCTTAAAATACATCTTTATATTCCAAGGCTTCTGTGATCATGTCTTCGAATAAAGGTTAGACTTTAACCCAGACATCTGGGGCTGGATTTATCCTATTGGAAGACAAACTAAAAACAACTGTTCCCCATCCCAAAATCAGAAGCTGACAGGCCCTTTCCATTGTTTTGCATAACAATACTGTGGAAATGAGCTTCAAGTAACATTTCCACTCAAGCTTTTGTTGAAGAAGAATGCTAATCATTCCCATCCTGCATCCCAATTACTCACTGCTCCTCAACTTCATTAACAACTCAAGAATCAGCGCAGAAACACGAGTCCTGCAGACTGAGAAGACAGGCAGCAGAAATAAATACATCAAGCCCGTTCTGCAGGCTGCTCTCCCTGCCAGATAACAGCTCCGGAGAGATGAGCCCCGGCACAGCAGGCCACGTGGAGGTGGCACAGTGTGGCCACCAGGCTCCTCGGGTGACCTCGGGCACATGGTGCCATCCAGCTCTGGAAGCAGCACGGCAAGGAAAGGCTTGAGAGGTGCTGAAGCCTCCTGAGATCCCACCAGGGTGGGCTGGGGTACAGCAGACACCAGGATGCACTGGGGGGCTCCTCAGAGCTCTGGAGCAGACACATCTCTGGTGGGAGGGGGAAACTACACCACAAACACACCACTGGCAAGCCTGACAAAGCTAAATCTGATCTGCCCTCCTTCATTTAAAGCCCCTGAGCACACTCTGATTCATAGCTGGGCTCCACTGGCACTGTCCCATCATTTGAAGCAAACCCAATTGTGCCTTAGGAATGATCTCAGGTATCTCATCTTTACACAGCTGAGCCAGGCTATTTTTAAACCCAGTTATCTGCAGGCAAGATATTGGTATAAAACTCATTAAACACCATTTCATATACAGAAAGGCAAAGGATGGATCTGCTAGAGAAACAAGTCAATACAATGAGTGCACACATGACAGCAGAACAGAGAATACCAGCAGAGTGCTCACTTAAGAGCAGCCTTTAAATTTGACCTTCACAATATGCAAGAGAGGTAGTGTACATACACAACATGGCTCTAGAGAAAGAATATTTATCCATCAAGTTCAACTGAGCTTCTATAAATAATGCAGAAGCAAAACACTAATTGGCCTGTTGCAGAAAAATTTTGCATTTCACAACTCACTGCTTTCCCTGTATATTACCTGGGGGTTTATCCTGACTAATCCAAAAATGCAGACATCTGTCCAAGGAGCCAGTACACAGCTCCAGAAAAAAGTACCAGCTCTTTCTTTTTTAACCTTGTTTCCTGTGAAAAAGAGATCAGACACTTGCACTGTCCAGCTATCCATCCCTCTATCACTTCATTTCTGCTATGAAGGTTTTTTTTTTGGCAAATTTCAGCCATGTCTTAAGATAGGAACACGCTTCAAAAATACTGCTTGTAAAAATACAACCCAAGCCAAAAGCCAGGCAAAGAGAGACCCAAAAGGGT